CATACTACAAATAGTACCCAGGGGATATATCACACAGTGAATGGATACTTACCATGGCATACTACAAATGGTACCCAGGGGTAATATCACACAGTGAATGGATACTTACCATGGCATACTACAAATAGTACCCAGGGGATATATCACACAGTGAATGGATACTTACCGTGGCATACTTAGACAGCATATTTATTCTTGGTATTCTGACATGATCAAATCTACAAAATCCATTGTCATTACTTTCTGCACCAAATTTAGGTCCAATGTCACCAAGAGTCACACCTGTCAATTGATATAAAAACATATTGTAGTTCAACATTCAGGGAATGATAAAATGCAATGATCAAATCAAAACACTGTAAAAGCTTGTGTGTGAAATATGATTCATGCATATTCTAGAATTCAATCAATTAAATTTTTAAACACAGTATCACAACATTATTCAATTCACATGTTGGGCAGATATTTTACTATTATACCATCCAAACATGTGAATTCTTCACATTATAATAATACATAGTCTATTACGTATATTACGTTCCTGATACCCATCAATAATGTCACACATTGTGTTTTCTATGAATGTTCAAAAAAATATGAAAAATATACATTAGTTAAACACCCCAGTCGATGACATTTTGAAAAAAAACAAGCAGCAAACAAGTCAGCTGAGATAGCTCCACTGTTAGCAATGCACATTTCAATTAAAGAACAGGAGATATCATTAGAAAATGAACAATATGCTTGCTGTTTTCAACAAGAATTCAAAAATATCACTTTTCACCAAAAATGACAAAAATAAACATACTCTGGTGACCTTGCCCTTTGTTATATAATATAATTCCCTTTAACATAGTTTGTTTCAATATAAATATGCATTGTCATAATTAATTTTGAATACAAAAAAGTTTTGGGGTTGAACTAACAGTGGGGAATCAGTCTACCGAATGTCCTTTAAAGATGTAAATATCTTACAAAAACATTTGTGCCTTATTTGTTTAATTATTTTAAGGGACATAATTTCATAAAGTAATTCAGATATTTTAGTATAAAAACAAATGCCTCATTGCAAAAAAAAGTGCTGCATTTAGACGTGAATAGATTCATAAAACATGCAAGATAACAGAAAATCTTAGCTGGCTTTTGTCCAAGTATTTTGTACAGGTGTCTGTCAAAAATTAATGATTCACTGAGACAAAAAAAAAAACACCCTTTATGAATAGCTATCATGTTGCAAGCTCTGCTTTGTATGCAAATCAACTTGAATAGTTAGTTGGTGTCCAGTGGAGGGAGAAGTCAACAGTACTGTTGCCTCCTGAGAACCTACATCTTCAAACACTGCAATCTTTGTTTGAAGTGAGTTTTTAAACTAATATTATAAAAACTCTATCATTCTGTTCTAATAGCTGAAACATATTCCTGTGAGTTTTCATTTGTTGAATGAACTGTTTGTCAAATACAGAATACATATATTTTAGAACAATTTTCTTTTTAAAATTGGATGAAATGTTTTGCTTTTTATGTATTTTTTATGTATTGTTTTTGATTTGATAACTTTGAACTAAACAGATTTTCTATTAGCTTCAGATCTTGATCAAAGTTTGGCACCCAGTTCATAGGAGTGCTTATATTGATTTTCTGACATCTTGTTTTCTGTAAAGATTTATTGGTAGGTTTGCAAATGTGTATCAGACTGTGCAATCTCTCCATGAGTTGGTTTTGAAACCCAGTAAGGGATTCTGAGATACATTACCAAGGATATTATTACAAGATAAATCATTTGCTTCATTGAACACATACAACAATGCATATTTCCACTGAGATCAGTGACCTTTGATGTGTATCACCAGTGATCAGTCAAGTAGAAACAGTCAAAATATTTTATCAGTTTTTCTCAATTTTTGCATGATATTTTCATACAGGACATCTGTTGTTCAAACTCAGGGAAGACTTTATACTGATGAACAAGGTGACCAAGTTTGATGAAGTTTGGAATAGAATTAGTAAAGTTATCATGCACACAATAACAATTACAGTATTAACGACGACGACAACAACAACGATGACGACGACAACGCTGGACAAAATTTTTCCCTTAATATACCTTTCCCTTCCATCTTTGATGGTACGGGCAA